AGCGCTGGCTCCCGCTGTGTTTTGGGGAGCAGCTGCTCCCTTTTCGCCCCTGGGGGTCGAACACCCTGCCCGGGGCAGGCTGCCAGGGCAATGTGTGCAGGCAGCCCTTCCCCAGCCCTGCACACAGCCCCTGCTATAAAATGCAGCTGCTGTTATTTTGGCATTTCACACAGCTTAGTGCTCATAAATGCCCTGTCTCCAACCCTGGTTGTTTTGTTCTCCCCAGTTTTCTTGGCCAGCACTGTTTGCAGTACAGGGTACCATGTCTTGCCCTCATTTGCCCATCCAGGACCACTGGGATGATCTGCACAGCAGCCACATAGACCCACTACAGGCCATGGTACCTTCATCTGGGGCCTGGCCTTTGCAATGATTTTGTTCTTCTAGGAACCACAGAGTGGTAACAAACTGCAGGGTAAGGCCTGCTAGCAGATCATGAGGCTGAGGTTACCAGTCTGTGGTAGGTACAAACATTCATTTTAAAGTCTGCTGTTAAAATGTGATGGTTCCTCCTTCCATGGTGATGAACCATCCGTGGTTGTGCTCCATGCCAAAACCTCTGGGAGCTGCTGGCCTGTGGACAGAACAGAAGCCATGGACAAGGCATCTCAGCCTCACTGTTGCTGCCTTCTCCTCCCTGTTTTCCCTGTGTCTGCTCCCTTTTCAGGACTGGCTCATGTCTCCCCTGGCCCTGATGGGTGGGTGTAGCACACTCCTGGAGCAATCAGCTGTAACTCACTCTGTCAGGTGCTGCTCCCTGAGAGGGCTGGATGACATCACACCATGAACACCTAAATCATCCCCCACCTCCTCATACACGTCTGCGTGCACGTCCCTGCATTCACTGGAGTGTTGTTTTCTCCCCTCAGCCTGAGTGGGAGCCCCATTCCCTCACAGCTGTTGGTGCAGGAGATGTGGGAAGTGAGGGATCAGCTAAAGACAAGCCACAGGGCCTGGCAGAGCTCAGCCTCCCACTGATTCTCTGGAACCCTGGAGTTCTGCTCCTCCCTTTAACAGCATCTGTGACTTTTTGCCTCCTTTTATGCTCTGCAGCCTGAAGGGCATAAAAACTCCCCCTCTTCCACCCCATCTGAACCAGCCTCCACATTCCAAAGGAAGACTACAAAATACCTTTTCTACCTCTGCCCCTGTTGGGGTAAAAGGAGCAGGGGAAAACACAGTGACTAATTCAGAATAAGAAATTCTGAATAAGAAATTCCCTTAAAAAACCAAACAAAATATCCCCAAAACAAACAAACAAACAACCCCAAAATTCACTTTCAGACTCCTCACAGCCCATAAAACAAGATAAAAGTAATGATGAAATGTTTCATCTGGTGTTATGACTGTGCCACACCCCCTCCTAGGACAATGTGAGGTTTTAAAAGCAGAGGCTTGTAAAAGACCTGCAGGATATGAAGAGCCATGTGGTCTCTGTTAGTTGCCATGTCAGTAGCCACAAGCAAAGCTCAGCTCCTTTCTCCTTCCCTCACACCTACCTTTTTTAGTAAACACAAGCTAGACCTGGCCTGACTATTAAATCTTCTTAGTCAGAAGTTAATTTTAAGGCAGTTTGGTTCTTGGCTCTTAAAATGATGAGACTCAGCAGAGCTGGTCAAAGTTCTGGGAATCATTACACAGCACTTTGGGTGCTGTACAGGCTGAGGGGTCAAGTGAAGTGACATCTTTGCTACTGAGTCACTCTACCCCCTTGGAGATATCACTTACCATCCCTCTCTATCAGCTGACTCATTTTAAAAGAGAGTAAGGACCAAACAGGATAGGTCTGAGGTCAGGACAGACCTGTGTTAGGGGAATGCATGTCTTGGATTAGATGGGGTGAAGAGTGGCCTTACAAGCTTTTCAGGCACACAAGTCAGGGATGGCACTCACCAAATACCATGCTCTAGGCCAGAATATCTCATTTTCACTATTTAGATTATCTCTCTTGTTATTTGATTAAAATCAAAAGGCAATTAAGCCCCCACTGAATACTGATTGAACATGAGGCTGCCACGGCTCACCATGACCATGCAGCCTGCTTCGGTTTGGATACTTCACTTCCAGTGGAGTTTCCCCTTCTCTTACCTCAGAGTAGGTGTCAAAAAAGAAATGCCTTCAGCCTCATGCTGTGCAGTTCAAAGTCCTGAAGGATCCATTGAAATCTGTCAAAGTTCTTTTCCCTTGACATGATGCAAACTTATTTAGCCAAAGAGAAGTCATTGCAAGTGGTGTGGAAGCTGACTCAGCCCTCCAGTGAGATGACAAACGCAGAGGAGCCATCCTCAGACGTGAGCTGGGAGATCAGATTCACACATGCCATAAATCACATTATAAAGGACGGATGAGCAAGAGCTTCTTGCAGCTTGAGTGCTGTGGAGAGTGAGCTGTGTGGGAGCAGAACAGAACTTACCAAGAGTTCAAGACAGAGGAAATTTCTTACTATACCTTGGGGTCCTGAATTTGTTCCTCCATCTTTACAGTGGCTGATTGATCTCTTTCCAGGCCCCCTCCTCCTTTTAGGTCACTTGTGGGTTTAGCCCCCTTTGCCAGGCTGGCAGGGAGTGCAGCAGAGGAGGTTGGGCAGCCTCCTCAGAGGCTCAGTCCCATCTCAGGGACACGTGTCCTGCTGTGCTGCAGAATGTGCTGTTGTGCTTGGGAAATGGAAAGTTGGGAGTGCACAGAAGAAATCCCTCACACACCACTGCATCCCTCCTCTGCTCCAACTCTGCACACTTCCCAAGACCTGCTAATTCAAAATGAGGTTGGAGGTGGGAGGATTGTAAGAGGAAACCAACATTTCGGTAGTTTTTGAGCCTGAAGGTGCTGCCTGTGGAGACTGAGGGCTGTGTCAGAAAGGTGGGGGTCAGGCAGCAGCCCTGCAGAGCCCTGAGGGCTCCAGCCTTGCCTGGAGCTATCTCCTGCAAAGCCAGGGTAGGTTCCACATCTGTTCAAGGTTTGGTGATATGGACTTCATCTTCCACAAAGGCTCCTGAACAGCTGTCAGGTAACCAGGATGCTTCTAACCAGCTTGGCCCCCATCAATCCAGTGACTTTCCTTGTATTTAGATCTTACCTGCCTTTGGGAATTCAACCCTTCAACTCTTCTTGCATGTGTGCACACACAAACACACAAAGTAAAAATTAATGGGGGAGACGACTCCATCTTCCCCCTTCTGAGGCAATCAGAAATAAATAACTGGCAGACCAAGTTAGGGTGCAGGGGAGGAAATGAGCCTAGAGAGAGATGTTTGCCCACTGTTTCAGCAGAGGCACCTGAACAGATGCTGAGAGTGAGGGACACTGTGGCAGCAACCAGATACAGCCTATTTCCAGGCTGAGAGGCAGAACACACTGTGAGCACATATCCAAAGATAGAGGTCCAAAAGCTACAACTTCTGGAGTCTCACCACTCATGGATCCTGGCTGCAACCACATAAATTGAAGAGCCAGTGCTGATCTTCAGGGGAAAGCTGTAAACCCCTGGGTGTGTCTGCAAGGAGGCACCTCAAGAATTTAATTTCATATTATCCCTGAGATAATTTGTTTTTTGTGCAATCTGAAGAAACTTACACCACGTTTTGAGTGTCTGGCTCATACAGCAGCAAAGAACCCCCACTTATATTTAGAAGCCTCTTCTAGGATTACATATCAAGATACGTGCACTGGGCTGTTTTGCAGAATGCAGCTGCCTTGTAAGAAGCCAAAGGTGCCAACATGATCCAGGAGCTGAGGCCAGCAATTTCAAGTTGCCATCTGTTTCTGCCTGTAATATGTGCAGGAAAGAAAAGGGAGCTGGACTTGAGGCATTAGTTGGTGCCTTCAGTGTGTGAGGACACTGTGTCCAAAAAGTGGAAGCCTGAGGCAGCTTTGCAGAAGGAAGACTCTGTTCATGCAGCCAGGACACAGATGTTGAGTTGAATACATCTTACTGCTTCCCACCTCCCTCTGTTTCATCAAATAACATCATTCAGCACATATATCGTATAACATGGGTTTTTTCCTACCAAAAAAGGAGGGTCCAATGCAGAATAATGGACCAAATCCAAATCTAGATGTGTGACAATGAAGAACAGGTCATTCCCAGAGCTGTCAGAGATAATGGAATTTGTATACATGCCCCTCTAAATATGGAGCAGGCACAAATTCCTCAGTCAGACATCTGCATTCTGCCTTCCACACCCACTGCTGGCACTAGGGCCTTGCTGATTTGGGCACTAAAATGTCATTTGTGCTCCCTGTGTTTGCTGCCTGCTTTGGGATGTCTCTGTCACACATCAGAACAATGTGGCTGTACAAGGACCAGATCTCTTTCCAGCACAAGCTGCACTTCCCAAACATGGTTGAAAATTTATGTAAACATAAATAAATGAAGAGAAACAATACCAATACATTAGTAAAGCAAAAATAAGATTACCTATGACACAGAAGCACTAAGGACATTAGAGGAATTGCTGCATTCTCTCCTCTCTGTCACATTAAGTGGTTTAATATAAAGCCTTTATTTTTATACCAATCAATAGCACTGTAAGGTACCAACATTTATCTTCAGAAGCACTGAAGGTACAATGGCTCAATTCTCAATTATATTAAGAGTGAGACTTCAAAGATATTTATAAGGAACAAGATGCAAGTTAGATTTCCAGTATGGTTTTCAAAAGCGTCTGAACAAGTCGGGTGTCTAGCTCCTATTGATCTCAACCCTTGTCAGGCAGTTAAAATAATACTTCAAGTTGCCTATCCCTATCCTCTGGTGCCCACACAACTTTGGAAACCTCCTTTTGCTGTGATTCACTTCATTCTGAAACGGTCCAAGGGGCTAGAAAAAGGGATATTACTCTTTCCAGTAGAAAAGGCAACAAAACTTAGGAAAGACACTTCCCACATACCAGAATAGACATGAATTAAAAGTAATTTTATTCCACTTGTCAATGACATTTCTATCATATCTGATAATAAGGCAAGCTCCCACAAGACATATCAGACCATTAAAATAGTATTCAAAAACCAAAGAGGAGTTCACAGAACAGCCAATTCTTGGGATCATCAAAATCAGTGGCAAGATTCCCATGTGGACAAATCTGATCAGTGTAAATGTTTAATAAATCAGCTGACTTCACCAGTGTTTGTGAAGTTTAATACTGCAGGAATTAAGGAGAGGTAATGCTTCACTGACTTCAATGAAAAACAGAATTTGGCAGGAAGGAAAGCGAAAAAGCACATTGAAAATATAATATCAAGGCACAAAAAATACATGCTACTTCCAGGCATATGCTTTAACAGGTAAAGGTTTCTGGGAGGATTTTTTTTTTTCGTTTTTAATAGGCTGTTGAACTCCTGACAGATGATTCTTCTCTCACCTGCACCTGCAGAGCTCCCTGGATTTCTGGGCAGTTGCTCCAGGTTGATGTTGGTGCAGGGAGAGGAAGTTGGCACAGCTCTCTTGAAGGTGTGGTAACAAAGCAGAGCAGCAACTGCTGAGGATGCAGCCACATCTTAATGCTCACCAGAGCTCACTCCTTTTAACATGGGATATTTGTGTGACAAAACAATCATATTCTGTGAAACAGCTAATAAAAACAGCTGTCCCATGCACAAGGTATCAAGAAACTGCAGTAATTTAGAGGCCATCAATTCTGGAACCCGAGGCTGCTCACTGAGTAGTGTCTAAGGATCAGGAAGTGTGTCTGTAACTAGGCAGAGGTGCAGAAGTCTGTCCATCTCTAGCTGCAGTGACACACAGTCACAGAGATGAGAGGATGAGCCAAACAAAACCCACATGAACAAAGCAGAACACAATGAAACGATGTGCCTTGCTAGAAACACAACAACAAAGGGATGAAGGACATCTGTTGAAAAAGAAGATCTTTTGTCAGATAAAAAAATAGGAACTTTTTACATATGTGAGGTTTAAAGAGGAAAATATGATCAGTGCAAATTTAATGAGGGACAAGAGCTAAGTCAAGGGAGTGCAACAATGAAAGACAACAAAACAAAAATAAATCATTAAGAAAAACATGGATGCTATGGAACAAGAGTCTCTCTTAATAATCAAGTGATTGAAATCGGTCCCAGGTGTTTAAAAATCCAAGGTAAAGTTCTAAAAGCTGAGGATGACAAAAGAAAGCAGCTGCTGAGTCAGAGTGCGCCCACGGCATTGTAAAATCACAGAGCAGGATAAAATCACAAACCCATGGGGACAGTTGTGTCATGTTGAGACTATTTTAAAATAATGAAAAAATCCTTAATGGCCTGATCCAAAATCTGCCAGAAGTAACAGGAGTTCTTCTACTAGCTTCAGTGGGCTGTGCATCAGATCTGACACTGTGCACCTTAAACAGTCTGGATATGTTGGCTTTTTCTGGCTGGGGTCAGCCAGGGAACATCACAGATCCAGCATACATTCCATGGAAAAGAGAAAGAAAAGGGATTTTTTTTTTAGGGCAAGATCTCATTATACATTAGGGTAAAAGAGAAAATGCTGCTTTATACTGAGATGTCTTATAAATAAATAATTTTGAAAACCTGGTCACGCCATGCTGATTAACTAACTGGGCTATCAGTTCATTCACCAGCAACATGCCTCTGCAGACTTAGAGGGTCAGAGCTAACAGTCTGGAATGGTTTCCATCTCTTCTTTTTCCCCCTCCAGAGGTTTACATGTTGATATCATCCAAGTGCAGTCCTGGTCTTCAGATAGCATGCTGCAAGGACACAGAAATATGTGTGTTTAGAGGAGGAGAAGACAGAGAGTTTGCCCTGTGAGTTTAAATTATTAATTCTACAGCTCTAATGGATACATTATGCCACATTAGTGGTACTTGTTCTCTTAACAAACATCCCTCTAGACTAGCAGCTCAATACAGTTTTGAGTCAAGGAGCTGAGTTTCTAATGGCATTGGTCATCTGTCAATCTGAACTGAATTTTTAAACTTGGTTACCTGAATCAATGCAAATCAGGGCCTTCCATTCCAGGAAATGGGCTCTTTCTTACTTGACAAAGATTCATGAGGTCAACAGCATCTCTGCTTCCTTGGAGTGGTACAGAAAGCAGTCAGACAAGAACAACCCTCCAGCAATGGAGAACTTGGTAAATCCCACAGTAACACACAACATGCTTTAAAAGGACTGGGAAACTTGTCCTGTGCATCTGCATTAGGAGAGCAAGGATCTGAGGAATTCCCTCAAATTCTTGTGTAGGGGAAAGCTCTCAGATAATACTCATGGATGCCCTGAAATATCCCTGGATTCTGGGTTCTGCTGGAGTCTGAGGGATCTCCTCCATCAGGCAGATACATTCTAGCAGCTCCTCAAGGAGGGATTTGGGACCCAAGGCACTGCCCAGTAAATATATCCTGCAGACAGCATTAATGCCTTTGCTGACTGTCTCTTGGATGCTACTCATGGCTCCACTGGGTAGAATCCATTGTGGGAATATCTCCTCTGTGCACAGATGAAACAGCTCTTTCTGGACCAGGATTTTTCATGTGGTTTGCAGTCAGGCTGATGTAACCACCTTGTCTGTGCACCTGCACACTGTGCCACTGATCAGCCTCCCAGTTGAGGGAACACTTTGAGAGAGAGGTAGAGGACTTTAGGCTCCTATGTTTTCACAAATCCAGTAAAACAAGGTAAGGATCAAGGAAATAATCAGTATGTGCCCTTACAATAGAAAAGCAGCAGTATGAGCTCCCTGGCTGGGTGGACACCAAGAATTAAAGAACAGGAATGCCCTGACTTCAGGCTTGGAGCTCTATCCCTTACTGGCAGGCCAGTCCCTGCAGCACAAGACCCTGACATGTTTATTTTTATGGTAAGGTGCAGAGGGCAGGATGGCCAGTGTAAAGATCTGGAGGCTGGCTGAGTGATCCCTGTCCTCGTGCTGGTCTTCAGCTTGTTCTGTCTCTGAAAGACAGGCAGTCACTGAGGGGAATTTCTGCAAAGGCTTCTGAGAGCTTCAGGAACAGGACAGCAGAGATACTAAAAATAACCTTGCACTCCTTTTCCTCCTGAAGAATTATTTCCAAGTCAGTGAGGAAACTGTGCGTGTACATCTGTCCCTGGTGCACAGTCTAAACACTTACTCCTTTCCCTTCTACCTGGAATTACCAATGCTGCATTACTGCACACGTGCTTGATTTAAAACCCTTCTGATTCTGAGCAGTGCAAGCTGGTGCTTTCCTCACAGCCTGGCTGGCTCTGTGTTCCCTGGAAGCCATGCTGACAGGTGGCATTTCTGTGGCTTCCCTGGGGCGGAGTTCTAAATCAAGTGAGATTAAGGAAGGGGTCAGAAGTTCAGGCTCCTCTACGAAAGCATTGAAATATCCTAATGGTTTGCATAAAATTCCAAACTCACAGCGTTTTGGCTTCCTTCCTCAGAGCAAAACTGTTGCTGTCTCAGTCTACTGGAGTTTTTACTTCTCTCTAACACCTCTCACTCACCCTCCACATTTCTGCTTGGCTCACTCCTACTTGTCCAGACTGCAGAAGTCCACAAGAGAGGAGCACAGAAGATGTGGGCTGTATATTAAATGCCTTGAGGCTCAGCTGGGTGGCAAAACTCAAGTGAGCTCTAGTTCAGCCCTGAGCAGCACTGCTAAGTGTCACTCGGACACTAGAGGTGGTCTAGTAATGTGCTGTGAGGAGCTGAATATTGTTCTGAACTACTCACATGCCATGTTTAGATGCAGTTAAGAATTGGGTTTGGGATATCTAGGATCTCCTTCACTTAAGTAAGGAGGATCCAGCCCAGGCTCTTGTTTCCCTAAACCCTGCCAGCAGAACTCAAATGTAATCTGAGGGTGTCTCATGTCAGCAAAACCCAAACCAAAACAGAATTTGGAATCTGCTTCAAAAACGTTGAGGCTGCTCTGAAAACACAGATTGTAAATGACTTGAGAGCCCTCACTGACTGACAAAATCACCACCTTTTGCTGAACAAAATGCCTAGAGGTGGGAAGGCTGACTCCAAGCCTGTGCACGTCTGAGGAAAGGTTTCTGAGAGGAGCATGATGAGAACAGTGGCACTGGGTGGGAGCAAGCAGGGTATGGCACACACAGGCTGTGGCACACAGCCCTGCCCTGCTCCAGGTCACAGTGCTGTCCCCTCAGGGAAGGCAAATACATCCCATTTCTCACTGCAGTTCCTGATGGACAACATGCCTGAGGCAGGGCCAGACTGTGGTGACACAAATACCAGCTAAAGTTACATCTGAGCAAGCCCTGGAAATGTAACTCAGCTCTGGGGACTGGCAAGGCAGGGGCACAGGGGAAGCTGACAGGGGAGGCTGAAAGCAAATGGGGAAGAGTAAGAATAAATTTGGCCCAGTGTGGAATGAGACACAGCCCTGATCTCACACACAGCACAGCTCTGCACTCAGAGCCCTCAGCAGGGTGAGGGACATGCCACTTCACACTGATCAGGACACACAAGTTTTATTGCTGGGCTGTCAGCTCCAGTGATGCAAGTGATGGCTTCCCCTTGCCTACATTTAGGGGCATGGCTGCAGATCATAGATGGTTCCCAAGTGTTGGGTGGGCCCTGCTCCAGGATATAAATATGTACATCACTACATATCTTAATATATGTTTGCTAAAGATAACATGCCAGTGTTTGAGACAAATGAGGCTCTCCAAGGCAGCAGGAGAAGCCCCAAGCTGCCTTAGCTTGAGTAAATCTTCAAAATGAGAAGTCAAGGCTGTTTCTTCCCTGCAGTAGATGTGTAGGTGTTGGCTGCTGTTATTCCTGTGCTACCGTTGCTCTGTGACTGAACCAACCAAGGAAGGCACATGAGGACACTTGGAAGTGGGGGTTTGCTGAGAAGTGAAAGGGTCTTCCTCTTCCCAAGTCTGCCACTATCATCGGGGGTACATTTGGGAGTATTATTGGTGGTGTAAAATCATTGTTTGCTCAAAGCAGGAATTTCCTGCTCTTCCTCTCTCTGCAACTTCCACCATTTCTACCCTCAACACACCTGACTGGATATTTTTCTCCTGGCTGAGGCATGTGGAGTTGTTTTGAAGGAGGCTTCAGAGCCAGCTGAGCCTGACTCAAGTTTCTGTACCTATAAGAAAAGTTGTGTAACAATTGATAGAGATTCCCCCCTGCCAACCAGACTTGGATGTCTCACTTTTGTTGCTTCTCAGAGGCTTCATGTTGTGGAAGAGAATTTGAGTTCTCAGTACACTTTGCATCTTTGATGCTGGCAGCAGTATCTCCCCAAGGTAATGTGCAGTGAGATTTGTTATCCCTTGAAGACCAAAAAAAGCCACAAGGAATGTCAGCAGAAAGAACTGGGTACTGTGGTATCTGATTAATTTCAAGTGGATAAAGTATAGGAATTAATCTTGGAAGGGTCAAGCTTTTCCTGCATATTGCTGAAGTCCAACTTGCAGGAAAAATGCATGTGTAGGTCAGGGAAACATTAAATCTGTGCTTAATGGTGATCAAATAAATCTGCCATATTATTGTATCTGAGGCTATTTTGTGCTACCTTACTAATATTGAAACATATATTAAAGTTAGCACAGAATTAATTTACCATCACTTCACTTCAGCAGAGGCAGAGTGGCTGTCAGTAAATAATCATGAGAAAGGCACAAATGGGTGTGAGGTCACTGAATGGGGTGTGAAAAGCCATTCACAGCAGTGGAATGCCAGACTAAAACAATTTAGTATAAAGTAAAAACGTCCAGGAGTAAGGCAACAGAGGGGACCCAGGTAAGCACGGAGAGTGGAAAGACCAGCTGGGTGCTTCTGTTCACTCATTTTCACATCAAACGATTGTTGTTGCCATCAAATCCTTTCCTAGAAGCTCTTTGGAGGGTGACAAGTGAGAGGGGGAAGGGGAGCAGTGAAGAGGCTGGAAGGGCAGAGAGAAGAGTGAATCCAGTGAACCTGGACTCCTCACAAAAGTCATGGTGCCATTTGGCCAAGAAAGCTCTGTGGAAACTATGTACAGAAATTAATATCCCAGCAGTGTTCTGAGGGTTCCCAGGCACCTGGCTGCCTCTACCCAACAGAAAGTTTTCTCTTTTAAAAAACCCCAGAACCAAAACCAATTTTAAAAGTCCTCATAGAAAAAACAAAGTTGTATTATACTGGTTTGCTGCTGCCTGGTCACTGTGAATGCTTCAGACCAGTGCTGTCTGCCACTCCTCACACTGCCTTTCCCTCCCCTACTTTGAAAAAATAACTGAGCTGCTCTCCTTGCCTGAGAAATGATGAGCAAGGTGGTGGAATTTACTGCTGCTGTCAATTACAAAACTTGGCACCCCCAGCCTGAAGGCCTTGGGTTTAAATCTGCCAGCGCTGAATGAGCTGAACACAAGCTGAACCAAGACTCTTGCTTGCAAAATGCACAGAAAATTAATGAATGCACAGGACACTTAGAGTCTGCAGCACCATCTAATAATGTCCCACAGAGCTGGACCCCCTGTCCAGTAACTTCCCTGCAGCTCAATATGTTGTACTTCAATTTTTGTATGAAAATGCTGTACACGTTTAACCAGTTACTGCATTCCACTCCCCAAAGATGTCTTCATTTCAGTGGTAAATGGGGTGTTCTCTGTTTATAGCTTATGCATAAGTTTGTACAGTGCACTGAAATGCCCTCCAACCAAACCAGCCAATAATAAATTCATTTAAATTGGTTATTTCAATGGGAAGTGCACAGTACTGTGGAGAAAAGAACACATTGTTGCACAACCTTAAGAAAGATTATTAATACCCTCAATTGCTTTTGTTCCCTTTTCCAGTAATCCATTTGGGTAACCCCAGAGATTCATTTGTTCCTTTGTTTGTTTCTATTATTGCAGGTGTGGGAGGACAATAACACAGCATGGAGGGTGAAGGGCCTTACCCCACAGAGACATCAGTTAGAATGACATTTTTGATCACTTTTGATATAGTTCTGGTCACCTGTTTTACTGTCAAACAGTAGAGGAGTAATTGACTGTTGTCTCCTCCTTGCAGAGCTAAAAGATTGGTTCGCCAGACATGAGACTGAAAATTATCACCTGGGGACTCTGTTACCTGAAATTTAAAGATCTCAGGTCACTTGATCTGAAAGATGGTGAAGCTGAGGAGGAAAAAAACCAAAAAGCAACTGGCCAAAATTGGAAAAACATATTGGAGCTGCAAGAGTTTCTAGAAAACCACCTGCTGCTAAGACAGAGTCGCTTGCGTTTAACCACAGTCAACAGAATTTTCTAAAATGTAAAATACAATAAAATCCTTTTGGAAAGCATACATGCATCCCTGGATAGATAGAGAGAGGTGGTTTTGGCAGCCCTTATGCCTTGCTCTGGAGGCCTGCAGGGAGGGCTGTGAGAGCCCTTGCTCACCGTGGTGAAGTGAACCGCGCAGTAGATGCCGATGATGAAGAGGCCGATGATGATGGAGGCCACGGCCACCCAGAGCGCGTTGCGACCCAGCCGCTTGGAGCCTTCTATGTCCCCCTGGTTGTAACTGTTCAGAGCCTGCAGAGGGCAAACAGGGAATCACAGCTCTGCCCTTCAAACACAAACCTGTTGGCAGAGCAGCACAACAGCTCTGAACCCACAGAACAAATCAATGTCCACTGCCAAGGTAAGCAGGGAGTCCAATTTTCTGTCCCACTCATTTTCTGTTGGAATATTGGGGGACACAAGACAGATCATTGACTTTGGACCTGGTTAAGATAAGAGATTTGATAACAGGATGCTTTGGCAAAAGCAAACTGAACTTTGAAAATTAGACCTGGATTGCAAGAAGATTAAATCAAACAGGTTTACCAGAAAAAGAAAATCCCATTAAACTCTGCAAGCAAGAGATGTTGTTATATGCATAAGTTTGTGTATGTGATTTTAACCTAATCATTGTAGTACACTTTACCAGTCTCCGTGAAATAGTATGTAAGTGTTTGTATCCCACAATAAAATTGGATTCTGATCACCAATCAGTCTCCCCATCTCTCTCCATTGTCAACAATTTTCAGTACCTTTCATTAAGGCTAAAGCTCTTTTATTGTTTGTTTGTTTTTGTTTGTTTGTTTTGTTGTTTTGGTTTTGGGTTGGTTTTTTTTTTTTTTTTTGTTCAGTGGTGGGGCTTTATTTATATGATACACACCTGTCACCATCATATTTTCTGAAAAATCCCCTTGCCCAGGATTCTTCTCCTGGGAAGCTGAGAAGCCTCAGAGAAAAAAGAAAACAATATGATTTGATTTGCTTCTCCTGTGTTTTGGAGTGCTTTGGAATGTGGTTTGGAGATTGTTTATCCAATATGTGATTTGTTTTAACTTAATGGCCAATCACAGCCAGCTGTGTTGAGGCTCTGGAGAGAGTAATGAATTTTTAATTAGTATCTTCTAGCCTTCTCTAAGTATCCTGTCTCTATTCTTTAGTATAGCTTAATATAACATAATATAACATAATATAATATAATATAATATAATATAATATAATATAATATAATATAATATAATATAATATAATATAATATAATATAATATAATATAATATAATAATAAATTAGCCTTCTAAGAACATGGAGTCAGATTCATCTTTCCTCCCAATGACATGGGACCCTGAAAATACCACACATACCAGCATAAAAGCTGTCAAACCAACATCCACCCACTTGCAGAAACCAGTGGCTTTTATCTTTGGAAATAGTTTTGTAGTATATGGGAATTGTTAGCTGGCCACTTCACTAGCAGTGAGATAAATTCTTATGCTTTACAAGACTATAAGCATCAAAAAGGGCATAAATAGGCTGCATTTTTAGAGAAAGTCTCAGCAAAACTTAAAAAAGCTTACTAATCACCTATTTTTCCAATATTTTACTTTTCCAAACAAAGTTTGAAGAATTAATAGGTAGTTTGCTAGTGGTGGGAAAAATACAAACCGAAGAAATATAGGTCATTTGAACAAAACATCTGAGTGCCATCCTCATGGGCTAGAAGTGTTGTTCCTTTGCATTTCTGGACAACACTGATAATCATTATCATATCCATCCTGAGGTATGCATCAGATATCCCCATATTATCTCAAGAGACTCGAGTTTCTCTCTACCCACCCATGACTTAGCAGATGCTTTACATTCATTACATGCTCAGATTGCAATGTGTGATAGGACCACTCTGATCCTCTAGGCTTTTGTGAGGCAGACTATTGGATTTTCTGAATTAATTTTTGGTTTAACCAAACCATTTTAAAGGAAAAGATTCAGTGAACCACACGAAGTACTGTAGTACATGAGTCTAAACACAGTTTGTAGAATTTTTTTCCCAAGAATGAGATGCTATCAAAGCATTAAAAAGGGCATTATTCCTAAGAATTCTTTTGTAAAATCATGAGAGTTTGAGTTCATAAGCCATAACACTGAGTCCAGATTTCTAGATCAGATTTCACTATTGAACTCAGCATACTTCCTCAGGGAATCAGATTAGTCAAACATGGTTTTTAGTATCTTGTATATATTTCAGGAGGTATCAGAGAAATGGGAAGAGTAGGGGGAGAGATATGGGGACCTGATCAAATTAACTGCTCTCTGGACTGAAGAATTCAGATTGTCTCTAGAAGACTGTATGAGGTACCACCAAGTGCTATAATGAAAGTGCTTCAGCTATAAATCACTTTTTGCAGCAAACAGAACAGAGTGAAGAGCTGAGGCTGTGGAGGGCAGGAAAGGAATGAAGTTCAGAGCACACCAAGCACTGCTGTAGAGCCATTTCTCCCAAGCAGGAAAGCAATGAGGGGCACGATGTGTGTGCTGTGTCAATTAGTGAGCACACAGAGCTAATGGGCTGGGTGCACTCGTGGTGTCAGCACTGCAGGAGCATCAGCCCAGCCCAGACAGTCCCAAAGCAACACAGCCTGCATTCCTAGAACTGCATCTCAAGGATAAGTGCAGGTACTTACTCTCTGGAGCCTAGGAAAGGCTGAGATGCTGATGCACTCATGTCCTTAAAGAGAGCACTGATGCATTTCTTCCCTTCCAGGAAGCCCACATGCCTAAACATTTCTCTGGTTTGTGTCCCCAAAGAATACCACTAAAGCCTCTGCTCTGCTGTCAGATTTCATTGAGGTTGGAAAGCACACAATGGGGAAAGAGGGCAGATGTGGAAATGAGAGATGGACACGAGCACATGGTCAAACAGGACAGTGCCAGCCCTGATCCTGCTACAAAGGGGCTGGCACTGTCCTCTCACCAAAGCCACTCCACTGTCCCCAGCAGTTCTGGCTGCAGAAGAGCTTTCTCCAAGCACATTTGGAAAGGTCTTTAAAAGGATTATGAGGAGAAACACAGCTCAGCTTGGCTCTGAGCAGACTGACCTCCTCCTGTGTCTGCCAACAACCACCAGTGCCACTGTGGCTGCAGGGAGAAACGCAGAAAAGCACCACAGACACCCTGGCCCTGGACTTTGTGCTCACCTCTTATCAAAGCACTCCCCTTGCATGGCAGCTGCAGAGGGGTTCTGCAGACACCAGCGACTCAGTTCCCCAGGCTTGTGGTCTCAAAAGTGAGACAGAGTTGTAAGCAAGACCTGACACCATCAGCTTGCAGTTCTGGGCCATTTTACTAATGTATTTAGGAAGTCTGGAAAATGTCCATGTGATTTCTGCAGGTACTGCATAAATAATTCACCGTGGAAACTTTAATAAATAATGTCATTTTAATATAAATCCACGATGAAGAGGAGGAAAACAACATTAATGATAAAGAATAGGATTTGGGAGAGTCAGGAAGGAGACCAAAGTTTCTCTATGAAGAGGTTTAAATTAAATGAAATAACTTAGAAAGCATTCAATAAAAAAATAAGAGGTTTGAGGGAGTGGTTGGGGTCTGATGCAAAGCTTTTTGAAATTCATTACTTCCGTCTCCTTCAAAGGGCTCCTGGTCAAGCTTCCAGTTTTCAACATTAGACAGTGATAACATCAACTGTTAAAGCTTTAACTGTTACATCTATCTAATTCCAAGGGCTGGGCAATATATTGAGAACATGTTATCTGTATGAGGCATTTGGTCTGTCCAACATTTAAAACAAATTTCAGCCCTTTTCAACCTAACACCATATGATTTCTCAGGTTTCTGCTACCTCACTGGCTATGAAGTCATAATGTAAATTAAAGCCACGGTTCTGCAGCTGTTTATTTACTTGAGTAATCTCAGTGACTTCACCAGGTTCACACACATCTATTTATAAAACATTCTCAGTTCAACAATAAAGTGACTTAACCTCATGTGAACAGAAATGTGCTGAATTAGCTATACAATATTAATCCCTTTTTATGTGTATTTTCTGTTCCACACTCCCAGAGCACTGATCATGGCAAAAACATGAAAGAACACTGAGTTGCTTCAGAAATCTTCCTCTACATTTCTTACAGATCTGGGCAAACCAGACTGAGGTTCTCTGATCAGCATTTTTTAGGCTCTATAAGCCAGGCTGGGTGAACCTTAATTGGCTGTGCCTGGAAAGGAGACACTGTCTAGTTCAGACCTCAGGAAGAACCAGGCCTGCTGACTCAGGGTGACTCCTCACTGCAGGAACAGCTCACAGGGAAACACAAAGGAGAGGGGGGACTTGGGGAGCAATTCAGAACAGGCAGGTGCTGAGCAGGACACGTGAAAGGGGAGTTGGCTCTGCAGGATGCTGGTGAGGAAAAACAAAAACCTAGCAGTTTGCAAAGGCAGGGCCATGGAAAAATGCCTTAACAGCAGCTGCTGAGCCCTGTTGTTTAATATTCCTGAACATTAAATATGCTGTTTAATATTCCTGAAGTGAGTACAGGCTGTTCCATATGGTGTTAGATATCCAGGTACCTACCAGCTACCTAACAAGGGTTGTATAAATAATAAACTCTGCAAGTAAACTTTCTAAATACAGAAACATTGGTCACTCTGCTGCTCACTGAGCTGGCCACAGCCAACACACTGCACATGGCTTGTGAGGATCCCAGTGAAAAGAGGTGGCTCCCTGAGAAAGCAAGGTCCATCCTTTCCTGTCCCCAAGGCTTCCACCACCCTCTAATTTGTTGTCTCTGCTTAGGGAAACCCATATAAAGACAAGGCATCTGAATCCAACAGCAACAAATGCAGACAAAGAACTTGTTACTATCAGAGAAAGATGAGCCAAGATTGTCACAGCTTGACCACATATGTTGTTTGAAGCATGGAAATGATTAAACAAAAATGTGTCAACAGCAAGAGGGAGTTTGGAGCAAAAATCAGTGAGAAATAGCTTTGGAGAGACTGTTTGGAGGTTGTTACAAATGTAAGGCCCTATGGAATTACAGAACTAGTCTGACATAGAGATCTCTGAAATGAAGACAGCTGAAGGGGGGTACTGAGAAGGGCCAACAAAACATGTTCAGTTGTCAGATCTCAGTGCTGGCATTGAAAATATCTGATTCATTTCCCAGAGTTATTCCACAGCCTCCCTCTAGCTCTGACCCCATGAGCCAGACACAACCAGTCCACCCCAGCCAGGTCTCAGACACAGCTGGCAGCTCACTGAGAGCTCTTTGGGTTAATCACTGCAGACAAGGAGCCAAAGAGCTCAGTGACACAGTGCCCACCCCCAGCCCCACACCAGAGAAATCTCCTGTGCCACAGAAGCCTCCTGACCTGGTACCTGCCCCCAACTCTTGCCTGTGGGTACACTTGTATGGGAAAGAATAGGGCAGAGCTGAGGGGGGTGACTGAGCCAACTGATGGCACAGCAGTGTGACACAGCTGCTCACAGTGACCCAGCTGCTGGAAGCAACAAGGAGCAGAACTGATGGCATCTGGGGCTGCACAAGGTATTGAGAGCAGTGATCCTACAGCCAGGACTCCTGGGGAAAACAGAACTCCATTTGCCAGAAATGCTGAGCAGTGCTCACCCTGCAGGTGGTCAGTGGCTTGTTGGAGGGGGGCTCTTGTAATGCCAATATGGCAAAACAGTGATGCCAATAATGCCCTTTCTACCAGCTCTCCTCTGACCCCTGCCATGAGAAACAGACAGGTAAGGAGCAAGGAAAGTTATTATTGCAATAAGGAGAACTTGCAAAAGGTTTATTCTAAAAATAAAGTAAAGGAGGTAAGATCTGTAACGGTGAGGTTTGAGCCTCCAAAGGTGAGAAAGGAGTGAGGAAACCAGTGCTGGAGTTGTAAATGGGGCAGCAGAAGAGACAGAAGAGACTGAAAACAAATCTGTCACTTATTTTGGGGGTGTGTTAGAGCCCAGACTCTACTTTTAGAGTGAAAACATTGTCTGAATTTAGAACAGTTAAGGAGGACATGACACAGGTACACAGGGTGCTGAACCATGCCCCCTCTAGAAGCCAACAGGACTTTTCCTTTTAGGTCCATTTTATGAAGTGGAAATCTGTAGAAAATCCACTTGTGAGAGTCTTTAAATCTGACCCAAGGTCTCAGGTAAGCTCTGCAGACTGTAAAGGTGTCTTCTGCAAGAAAAGAATATAACCCACTCTTGTATCTCAGTGTTAACCCTTAGCAGCTCCAGCTGAGAAAGGGTGGGAGGGTGCAGATCCCAGCAGAAGTGGAAATAAAACCAGCCCAGGCTACAATGCAGAACCTGCAGCTGAGGATAATGCAGCAGTTACAGGTTGCAGCTTGGAAAGGCAGGGGGGTCAGGCCGTGGAAAAGAAATTGGACATGCTATTTTTATAGAAAAGGAGAGGTTTTAGGTAGGATGTGTTGAAACAGATGCTATTCCCAGCCAGGGGAGGTCACTGGTCTGGTTTTTGTGTCCCCCTGTAAGGCAGTGAGCAGCTGAGACCCGCACAGGCTGTTCAGCATTCAGGAAGTGCTCTTCCCACCCTGGTTCCTTCAAATCCCCCGGTAACAGTTACTGATGCCTGACTCCAGAAGCCTGCATGAACTTCAACCAGGCTGTGGGTGGAGATTTCTCCATATGGGGTGCAAAAATCTTTAGAGGCCAAATTCTGTCCCTGACAGTTAACTTCTGTACAGCCCCAGCACCTTGATGAAAGCAGTGTCACAGGGAACAGACGCTCCCAGCCCCAGATCATCAGCTCTCATTACTTTATATAGCACCCTCGGTGTCCATGGACAGAAAGGATGCTGAGTACCAGCAGAACCAAATCTTCCCAAAATAAGGGAAAAAGCATATTGTATAGTTAAGGTAACAACAAAGAAGATAAACACAGAAGGAAGAAAATTAAAAAAAAAAAAAAGAAAAAAAAGAAAAAAAAAAAAAGAAGACATCTAATACTTAACTACAAAGAAAAAAAAAAAACCCAAACAAAAAAAAAAAACCCAAAAAACAAACAAACAAACAAAAAACCAACCAAAACTTGAACAATGGCTTTGGAATAGTAGTTTTCAAACTTCAGCAATGTAGCAATGTGATTTCTCATCAATCTTTACTTGTCACACTTTACAAAAGTGTGTTTTGGGATATTTTAGACATAGTTAGCTATTCTTATACTTAATTGCAAAAAGAAATAACTACATTTTTACTTACCTTCTCAGCTTGGCTGTCAGAGAAAAGGATGAAAATACACAACATGTTTTAAACCTTTTTCAGCTCCTAAACAACAGAAATACATTGCAGTGTTACTGATAACACCGATCACGTATATGACTAGAAAACTCTGGATCTGACTCTGCAACTTTTAACTCAGAGAAGGAGATTCTGTTCCAACAATCCTTTGGAAGTTAAGGGGATTGCTGGGTTATTAAGGACAAAGTGTATCAATTTCAGATTGTAGGAGTAAGGCTGTTGTCTCAGTGTGTTTGATACTCAATGTACACGGGCAATTGCCAACAACCTACAATCATTATCATCATCTGTATTATTCAAACAAATAGTATCAAAGAGCCTGTTTACTGGAAAAAAAGGCACTCCTATTATATTTGATTAACTAAAGCAGAAACCAAATCTGATTTCTGTTCTCCAGCTGACACTTTCACACAGATACTCTGTCCAGTTCAGCGTGCGGCTTAGTTGATGCAACAAACCCCGTTAACTGGAATAAACCCGCCACCTGACAGTGAAAACTTGTTGGAAACTGCCTTTCACTCCACGTTTTCCATCGCTGCTGGGATGGCTCGGTGGTCCCCCTGCCCGCGCCTGCTGATGCTCCCAGGCTCGCTGCCTCACCCGGTGTCCGCAGCTCCCGGGACAAGCGGCTCCAAGGCGGCTGCTGCCCCTTTCCCTGCCGGGGCCGGCTCGGAGCCCAGGCCGGAGGTGCTACTCACCATGACGGCGAACACGAAGGCGACGATGTTGACGGGATAGGCGGGACAGAAGCAGGAGAGGATGCTGAGGAGCAGGTAGTTCTTGGGCCGCGGCGGCGGCGGCTCGTCGGGCAGCTCATCCTCGATGTTGGTCTCGGGGCTGTTCTCCAGAGCCCGCTTGATGTCGGCGCCGGCGGGGAGCGCGGACATGGGGCTGCGGTGCGGCGGGCGGGCGGCGCGGAAAGCCCAGCGCTCCGGGCAGGCGGGACCGAGCGGCGCCGAGCCAAGGGAGCCGCCCCGGGACGGGGCCGGGCGGGGCGGGGGGGCTGCCGCGGGTCTCAGCGATCCCGGGGAGCGATGGGAAGAGCGCCCGGCCCGACGCCGCCCGCCGAGGCTCCCCGCGCCCCGGCCCCGCGGGGTCCCCGCGCTGCTCCCGCCCGGCCCCGGGAGCGCCCCCGGCGCTGCCGCAGCGCGGCCGGGCAGCAAAACCCGCGGCTGCTCCGGCCTGCAGGGAACTTCTGCAGCTCCTGCAGTTAAAGGACTTGAGCCGAGTTTGCACAGCCCCCGGGAGAACTGCGCTGCGTTCTTAAACTCGCGTTTCCAAGTGTCCCAGCCGCTTCAGCAAGCGGGGTAAAGCCCGCAAAGCCATTTTCTCGCACCTGGACTGAATTTGCCATCTCAGCCTCTTGCTGAACTTAGCAAAAAGCATCGAAGAGCAGCAGAAACTAACGAATTTAAAACATTGAGGTCAATGTTTTAGCAAATCATTCTGTTATTACTTGAACATGACATCTGTAAGGTGAAACCCACTGTGGGGGATGCACGAAAGGGAGCAAGGAAATAAATATTATCTCTAAAACCTAACATACGGGGGGGAAAAAACCCAAACGACCACAAGTAAATAAAGATCTATTTCCATAATGGTTTTCAAGTTGGTGAGGAGTGACATGGCAGCCTACACTGAGAAAGGAATAGGCTGTTTCTGCTATGTGGTCCTAGAAAAACCTTCACACCTGTATCAACAAAATAGAGACTTTTGGTCAGATGAAGGCTGAAGCTGAGATTTTGCTCTCACTGGCTCGTCCTGAGAGCATTTCATTAATTAAAGTTTAAAAAAATAGTAAGGTGTGCTTACAGCTTTATGAATGAGAGACTTTTATCCCCAGGTGTTTTGCAATTGACTTGAATGGAGTCACCGTTTCCCTGTTCTGGATGTTATCCTACAAGATGTGACAGAGTAAAGACTTTTATAAGGAATAAAGGTGCAGTGTTTTCACTTTCATAGACATTAATCGTCTCTCAGCTGCATGCCTGGAATATAACACAGAGTGAGAATCTGCTGATCTATCAAAATGTCAAAAGAAAAGATGGTACATCTTTAGGAAAGAGTAAGAAAGACCAGCTCCCATCTGCTTGCCAACGTAGCCATTAATGTTCAGGCACAAGCTCTGTGCAGCTGTAAAATCTCTGATCTGTTTGTTCTCAGGGGACTTTAAACACAGTCACCAGACAAGTGCAGGAAAAACCCTTCACACCACAGCACACAATTACTGCTGGGGCTGGTTTCAGTAGGGATGGAGTCCATATCCTCTGCCAGGGATCAGCATCTTCCAGGGCCCCTCAAGCCTTTAATCCACGAGCACACTTTCAGACCCATTGAAATGGCTTAGAGTTCGAGTTTGCCTGCTGGTGGTTGAAACACAGTTAATAAGAACCTGTTATCTCATGAACGTGAAAATCCAGCTGCTTAGGGCAGTTTGAGCCATCCAAGGTGGACATAAACAAGGACAACAAAGAACTGTGGCAAATCAACTCTGAGGAGAAGGCAAAGTTGTGTGCAGAGATCAGCCAGAGAAACATGACCCTGAGGAAAGGATGTAGATTCTTCCTGTTTAACACCAGACATTGAGTTTTAGTGCTTTTCCAGGGGACCTCCAAGAGAGTGATCCAGAGTCACCAGTGGCATCAACAACCTGTGTTAAATCTTCCTCTGAGGACAATGAAGTGCAGGTGGAATTTGGGCTCTGTTAAGCTGGACCATGTGAATCCCTTCCCAGGTCTCTCAAAGACACAGATCTAACAGGAGAACCTGGTGTTTCTTGTGTGTTTCTAGAAACCCTAAAGTTTAATTGTTCAAACGAGGCTGCTAACAGATGCTAATGGATTGCAGAGAAAGCAGGAGATAGGAAGTGGTGAGATATTCAGGGCCAATTTGTGCTAATGAGAGCTCATTAAGAGGTTCTTGAGATAAAGGTTCTGTCACGAGGCAGTTAGTGTGGCTGAATTTAGTGGTTTGTGTAGAAGATGGGTTAAAATCCAAGAACTCTGTCCTGTTAGGACGAGACTGATTAAATTTTAAACAGCACTGACTTGTAGCCACTTACCGAGGTGAGGAAAAGGAAGGAGGAGGTCCTCAGCCAACATTTTGGGTTCTCAGGCTGCAGAGGGAGGGCAGTTCCAGCCCTTGGAGAGGCTGTAACCTCAGAGGAGAGAACCACTGCGCTGGGACGGCTCGGCAGAAAGTGTGAAAGTGATTTAAGAACGTGACCTGAGAGTTTTAAGATATAGTTCCATGAACAATCATAAAAATAGCCTTCCAAGGGAATGAGTCAGAGTACCCAATATTGCTGCTTACAGCCTTGCACTTCATGCTGAAACTTGAAAGAGAAACTGATCACTCTGCACAGAGCAGCAATTTTTTCCAGGGATATGAGTAAGGCAAGATCATGGATAAATTGCTTATCACGATGGGCAAAGCAGATGGGCAAGAGACATGACAGTTGCAAAATGGGTTTTTTTGGAAAAGTCTCCTGATTTCAGATGCTATGGCTTGCCAGCAGGATTCCTTGTATGGTGGAATATGGTCTCTCCACCACATTTTGCTGTATTCCTGGCTGGTAGGACTCTCCTCAAAGGCATGTTCACAGCTCAGAGTGGCCCTGCAAAGAAGTTCCAGTGTCTGCACACAAGATCACATAAAGACCAAAAATGGCAGTTTAGTGCCCAGGGGTTCATTGGGGCTGACATGTATGTCCAGACATGAAACAGTAACAGCCAAAGGGCAAGTCAGGCTCCAAGCTGAGTTCTACTTACCTGGAAAAAAAGTAGTCTCACAATCTTCCAACATTTAGCCATGCTTTGTCTTTACTGAGAGAACAAAGAACCTCCCTACCTTCAAAGGGAAGAAAAAAATATAAACTGGAAATGAAGTAATTAAATGCCTAAATTTCTCATACTGCATCCATTGCACAGTAATTTAAAGTTCTTATATACTTCATCACAATATCCCATGGTAGTAAAATCCATCCCTGTTTTGGAGAAAGCCCATGGGGTTTGAATGATGCATACACAGCAGGGCTGTTTCTTCTGTCACATTGCTCAATAAAACTCTTCCCCTTACCCAAAAGGAGGATCACCTGGAGATGGGACACAAGAGGCTGGATGGAGGCCTCCCATATTCCAAAAAGTAGTATTTTGTCTTGGTTTAATAAGTCCTTCTACAGAAGTATTCTGCAGGGGAGCAGTGGAAAACTAACCCACCCTTCTCTTTTCAAGGACAATTCTGTATCTGGTGATTCTGGTCTTGCCAAGTGTGTGGGGATCTCCCTTCTCTGCTGGCTGCCCATCCTCAGGACTGCCAGGCCCCTCAGCAACACTTCCCAAACTCAGGGACTGTGGCTATGAAGGAGCACAGCCAGAGCTGCAATATTGGTTCTTGGTGCTGTGAAGGTGGAAGGAAATCTGTGCCACCCCAGCAGCCACTGGAGAGAAATGGCTCCCTGTCTGTTCCCAGGCAGCCACCAGTGTCTCCAGCTTTTCCTCTTTGCAGGTCTTCTGCTAAATCAGTTCTTTCCTTGGTACATTTTGTACATTTTGGTGTCCAAATTTGCTTTGCACTGATAGGTCTTTGCTTGGAAGCCTCTATTTATAGTGAACTGAGGTGAACTGTCTTTTTAACTTCTGCCTGAACTTCAGCTGCAGAAAACATTCCATCCCACGTTCCTTTTTCTTTCCCTGAGGTATTAAACGCAAATACCTTCACAATTTGGTTTGTTAAAGTTTTGTTTACTGGCAGGCTTTGGGAAATAGCCATTATGCTTTTGGTTTTAGGTGTTTTAGTATCTTTTAGCTGCTCTAAAAGATGATATTGTTTGTAAAGTGAAGCTTGTAGATAGAAGCATTTTGTTCAGACATGTTGAGAGCACTAAACTGAAGCATGAGGAGAAATGAAAAGGGAGAGGTTTGGGAGGCTGCTTAAACTACTTCTCATTTGGTAATTCCAAATGAATATATGAATCAAATTACTTGTCAACACTATGCAAAGGAAACAGCTCCTTGTTCCTGCTCTTGAAATGGACAGAGTTTAATTTGTGGCATAATAAGCAGAGGAAACTGTAATGACTGGAAGGATGCACATTCCTTTCCTTAAAAATTATGGGTCAGGACTGGTTTTGCTGTTGTATTTCTGTGTTACTGACTCAGCAGTGGCTGTGGGGCTCTACTCTGTACACTGATGCTCTAACAGATATTGTGAGAGAAATGCTTTTCCTAGTTTAAACCAAACTTTGCAATTTTACCCTTGCAGCTGCAGATTCCCATTTTTCATTGTGGGCCAAAGCTGAGGGCTGTGGCTTTGGAAACACCAAAGATTTGTGATGAGCTGTTAACTATGCTAAATTATTCATGGCAAATAAATATGTGACCAGTGAAATGTTCAGATAAAAATGAAAGTTACCTTCACAGTCTGAGATTGCTTTTTCATCCAGTGATAACCTTCTGGAATGCTATCACAATTTGAAGTCAGTAAGTTGACTGTGCAAGCCTGCAAGAGCTCAAACACTCGTGAAGATGTCTTTGGGTGTTTTCCATGATCTGTCCTTTTCCATGCTGTCTCCTGGCTTCTGACCTGTCTGATGAAGTCAGACATGAACATTAGAGGATCTGTTCCAGCAGCTCAGACAGTGCTGGGCATCTGCTCAGTGCCATGGGTGACCTGTGCTGTGCTGGGAGGAGCCCTGGTTTGTCTCAGTGCTCCACTTCCCTGCAAACCAGTTCATGGTCTTGAAAGTTTTTTCTCCTTGTGACTGCCAAGACAGTCTGTTGTAGTACTGAAAGGGCAGGAGTTTATCTTACCTCACTTTAATGCTCTGAAAACAGAACATCAAAGCTCAGCTCAGTCAAATTTCCTTCAGAATCCACATGGAGAGTTA